TTGCCTCGCTGTTTGAGTCGGTCGCGAAGAAGCTCGGGCAAAAGCATGAGATGATAATCATGAACCCAGATCAACGATCCACTATCAGCCGATTCGGCAATCGCATCTGCGAATAACTCATTTACCCGCCTATATGCTTGCCATGGAGTCTCGTCGAAAACTACACCGGACTGATAATGGAGAACGGGCCAGAGGATACGGTCTGGCGGTCAGGGTGGATCACTTTGTTAGGGCAAGGGGGCTTACTCGAGAACCCGTTATAGTGCTCATGGGCTAGGGAACTATCCAGGAATATAGGAATGGCATTATGTGCTTCCAAACTCCTTTGCACATCCTCTCGGTCCTTTGGGTCTTTAACCTCGATTCCTGGCCAGCCAAACCATTGGAACTTGGTAGACTTGGTTAACCCAGAGAGGGAAGTGACGAGGCCACCACTCGAAAGAGATGACTGATAGGCACCATCAACCTGTTTCACGGACAATGGAAGGCGATTTGAGACGATGATGAGGTTTCGCTTTTCGTCAGTGATTGAACCCATCCTGTTACCCAACTGGACTTTTATATATCTTCAACAACAAAGAACGGATGATAAGTTATTGACTGAATTCAGATTGAAGTACTCAGCTTTTGCATTGAAAGAAGCAGAAACCAAAGAGGAAATTGACAGTTATACATAACCGCAGAAATGGCAAATGGCAAATTGCGTCAGTATGAAAGAAAAATGCATCCCTCTCCTCTATTATCCATATGCCTAGATCTAGATGAGATTAGCCTCAATGACACTCTACCTCCAATATTCCATTTTTATTTAATCATCTGGATAATACGGAGATGGTTGCCTGATAACTTCTTCGGGCTCTATTTAGGCTGAGGCGAAGCCAGTCATTTAGCCCTACATATATTTTCTACAGAAAGGGCCGACAAAAGCCAGAGCAATGTTTTATATTCGACGTTGAATTAATTTTACTGTTTTATCCACATATTATTTTTCATCTATATACTCCAGGGCTGCTTCTTTATTGCTGCATTTCGTCATGGGCATGTCAGAGCTAAGCACCTGGCGCCTCAACCTTTTCCACCGATTTGCCTCTTTTGATTTGTAGTAATTTTACAGCAATAAAGCAGCTCAATCCGGCTGCATATGCGCATCCAGCAAACGCAATCAATCCCCAGTACTGTCCCTTACAGACACTAATAATCTCTCCAGCAATCGGGACGCCAGTCAACGCCCTAAGGATATGTCAGCCACGTGTTTTGATGAAATGACTCAATACAACAGGAGAAGGACCTACCCAAAAGCAACAATGGTATACACAGTGGTGTAATACCTCCCATAATTCTCGACGGGACACAGCTCTCCCACACAGACTGGCACAAGGCTGATATTACTCCCACTGGCGAATCCAAATACAATAGAGAATATCACCGTAGCAACAAGATTTCCGTCAGCAGGCATCCAAATACCGAGGACCGATACCAAACAAAGAATGTTTGTCAGGATCAATGTGTTGAACCGACCAATGCGATCAGCGATGATGCCCGGCAACCAACGACCAGGGAAAGAACCTGCATTCAAAAAGACGACCATCAAATACGATAGATCGGGGGAGATCCCACTCGCAATTGAATACGAGGCAACGTACTCGAGTGGAATAAAGAAGCCCCATTCAATGAAGAATACCCCCATTGTCGTCAGAGCGAGAACTGGGTCTTTGAGAATAGTGAGATCGGGAAGAAATGCCTCAAGCGACGGACGTGACGGGACTTTGGGAGAGAAGTTCGCTCGGATTAGAAGGCAGCCAGGGATCAAAAGGATCAGGGTAATCAGGCCGACGACCCGACTAGCCCAGGCGAATCCAATCTGTGGCGCGAGATACAGCAATACCAAAGGGAAGATCACGCCGCCGATACTACCCCCGGCCAATGCGAGACCCGTTGCTGCGCCTCGGCGTTTGATGAAGAAATGTCCAATGCTCGCAACGGGTACAATGAATATGAAAGATGTACCCATTCCCCCTAGAATGCCAATCACAATAAGGAAGTGCCAGTACTCCTGGCAAAAGCCCATGAGGATGAAGGTTAATACGAGCAGACTTGACCCGATCCACATGAGCAGCCGCGGCCCTTTGATATCGAAAATGGGCCCAATCTGGATTCCGCAGAAGAATACAAGGAAGTTGTATATTCCGAAGATCCAGCCAATTTGCCCTTCGCTAATGTTTGAGAGTTGGTGTGTTGAGATCCAAGCTTGATAGATGCCGATGCTGTTCATTAGGCCGAGTCCACCCATGATAGCGCTAAAGCTGCCTGCTACAACAAGGTTGCCAATGAGCCCTCCCTCTGGGCAGGTGGTTGGGTTGAGTGCTGATTCGTGGTGCATTATTTTATGCTACACAATAGGTAATAGGTAATAGGTACAAAACAGAAAAGGAAGTTTGTTGTTGGAACTATCTATATGAAGGCTTCGATTGCATGGGTATAGCTCCTTTTAACTACTTCATAGTGGATAAAGTACCAAATTTGTATCTGCAAAATTTTCCTGAGCTCGGCCATTATCATGATGCATGCTGTCTAACGTGCAGATGAACTAGAGAGAAATTCGCCGAGGGCTGTATGAAAATCGGAATCGGGTCGCTTTCGGGATTGGGCCGAACATAATAGATAGGATCAGCGAGCGAAAATTCCGCTTATAATTATCTGAAGAAGTCCACCGGAGTCATACTTGGAGCTGGCTCTGTGGCAATGAACGATGGCCGAGCATCTCGGCCAACCAGTATGCTCGGCCACCGGCGGAACTTCGCCGACCCGCCAGCGGCGAACTTGATCAAACTCACATGCGTTTTGATTGATATAATACTTCATTATTGACATTTCATATTCTTAGAACAGATGGAAGAACAAGAAAAGAGAAGAAAATGCCATAGGAATATGAGGTCTATACTAGCCTAGGTAAAAACCAGTGCCTATTACGAACCAAAGGTAGAGACAGCAGGAAAGCCAATATAGCCCCCCCCCCAGGATTAAATCAACTAGAAACAAGTACAAGAAAAGAAAAACACCATGACGATGGTACGAAATAAAACACCAGTACCGGACCAATTCAAAACCCCAATCCCGAATATGATCCCATCCCCGCTGGTTATGCTGCCAACCCATCCTGTAAAACAAGTACGCCGACCAGGCCTAGGCCTCAAAATAAAAACAGTGGTTTAGGCAAACCTGCGCTTGGTTGGGCTCGGTGTCCGGAGGTGCTGCTCGCGCTCACGAGAGCGCTCAGTGACAAAGTCCATCGCCCGTGTATTCTCTAGCATCAGGGGCTGGTCTTGTTTCTCGTTGTAGGCGAGGCCTTGGGTTTGCCGAGGGTCTTGCTGCCCATAGTACCCGAAGGAGGGGTTATGCTGCAGCTGGGGGTGCATAGATTGGGGTGGGGGTGGGTGTTGTGCGTAGTGCTGTTGCTGGAGACGGTGTCTAAATGAGCGGAATGACCAGTTGCTAACAACGGTGACGGTGGATATGGTTGCAAGGAAGAACAGCTAGTATGTCAAGTCAATAAATATCCAAAATCGAGGGCGCAGGGAAACTCACAATCGCCTTCCAGCTGATGGGATCAATAAAACTGTTGATGATAATAGCCATTGTATGCGCGGAGACTTTGGCGCGGCCAACCTTCGCCGGGTCGCGATTCATGCACCGTTCCCAGTTCTCGCATATAGTTTCCAGGGCTGGCGCGCGACTCGGTCGCCCGCAGTCGTTGTCGATGTAGCTTTTCGTGCAGACCGCCATGTCGGCCAAGATAGTATCGGACATTTCTTGCGCAGCCTGCTCGAACTCGCCGCGGATGGCTGACACAAATCCGAAGACGACATAGACGGCCAGAGAGAACAGCGACAGGTTGACCACCAGTTGGGCCCACCATGACAGGATGGCGGGGACATTCGGGTGTGCCTCCAGCATGCTAAAGAACTCGGACCAGGATGATACTCGCGAGCGACCCTGGTCAAACTTCTGCCCCTTCCCTTGCTTCGTGGCTTTCATCGACTTCTGTTCTCTGCTGCTGGGCTGGTCTTGGTCGCTATCGTCATCGCTGTCGACTCGTATTTGTCGGCCGAGTTCCTTGTCTCTCCGTCGTTTCTTTTGTATCCGGTGCAAGGCTGCGTTGGAGTGGTGTGTCAGCCGAGGGATTTCACCTCGCCCTGGGCTCTGCGGATTCCGGCCATGAAAGTTGAATAGTGACGAAGTTCCCTTCCCTGACTTGTACTGCTGCTCCGGCGTATCCTCATTGTCTGCATATTCCGGTGACGACATATTCTCGGCACCTGATGAAAAATCCACATCGAATTTTCGTGGCGTCTGGAAAGCAGGTTGGCCAAATTTAGCCTTTGGCGATAGTGGTGCGGGTTGCTGTCGGGGCTGTGAAAAGAGGAAGGGTTGAGAGTTTGGTTCGCGGAGGGAGGGTAGCGCTTGCTTCTGGGGGGATTCGAATGCGCTGTATGTTCCTGTGCGAATGTCAGAGAGCTTGAGATTACAGTTGTCTTCGTTTAGACTGGGATACGAACGTTTCTTCTCATGCTGCGCTCCAAGCTGATAGAAGGGCGAGGTCACGTCGCCGGGGGCTCGGGTTTGCCATTCAAAGTCCATTGGACTCTCTCCCGTTCGTTTGTCCATCTTTAGGTCGACCAAAATATAGATCTGTGGCGGGATGATGGTGAGGGTTAGAGAGCGGGAAGTTTTTTGTTTGGGGTAAACATCCAGACTCCCGTAGCAACCTTGGCATTAACACTCTTTATCTCCGAGAGACTACCTGGGTATGCTTCATCCTTTTTACTCATATTTTTTATTTTATTGTACCCATTCTATGGTATATGTTACAGATTGAGTAAGGAAATGGACAGATTCGAATCAAATATCGAAGCAAGATCATTTGATGCATTGGGCGACCAGCACCCACTATGGGTATTAAACATGATGGAAGACATAAGACAGATAATATGAGAAGCCATCTACTCATCCATCTGCCACTGGTATTCCAGAGCCTCAACCCGGCTTCTCTTGTTCCGCGACGTAAACCAGTCCTTTTCAAACCCATTGCCCCGATCCACTCCATCCCAGCGATGCCCTGGCCGGATCCCATATCGATTAGGCTGGAAGGAACCACGATACAGTGGCCGCCCCGTAACACTGGCTCCTGCATCACGCCGAGCCGTAAGGAACTCCGCAGCGGGATCATTCCACCGATCGCGGGCCCTCATATCTTCGTTCATTTCTTCGTCCTCGATCGTCCGTGCAAGCGGCACGGCCTTAATATCTTGTAGATCCCGTCGCCGCTCCTCGCGCTGCTGTCGCTGCACATCTCCCATCAGCGCCTCGCGCGCCTGTTCTTCTTTCTCGCGCTTTTCTTCTTCTGCGCGCCGGGCTTCGGCGCGTTTCATGGCCACGTTGATGATTCGGCCGGATGCGTCTCGGTAGATTGTTTCTTGGCTCTTTTGGTTCACTGCTGAGGGATCGCGGTACTGTGCTTCTTCGGCTTTGCGCTGCTTTTCTTGGGCTTTCACCATCGCTGCGGTTTGGGCTGCGGTTTGGAGGCCCCCTCGTGCTCCGGACTCCATGCGACCCGCACCATCGTCTTCATTCTCTATCATAAGCGCATCTTCATCGTCCGGGTCCTGCTGGGCGGCGCGTTCGGCTGCTGCATCGGCTAGAATTGCGTCGGCGGCTTCTTGTTCACTTCCGCCTTGGCCAGACGTGGGTCCTCCGATCGTCTTCCAGCTTGACTTCTTCGCGCGGCGGAACTCTGTAGTCTTGGCAGATGTGTCGAAATAAGGTCTGTCCTCATCGTCTTCGCCCGTATTTCCTAATGAGCGAATGTCTGGTGGATCATCGTCGGCAATGATGAGGCCGGAGCCTGCAGTATCGATGGCTTTGGTCTTCTTGCGCTTCTTCTTTGGCCGCTCGGTGGCCGGGTCGGCAGTCAAATAGTTCTTTGCCAGGTAGTCGGCGAGTGAGCCAGGCATTATTTTGGTATGTTGTATGTGAGGAATGTGAAATGTAGAGGTGCAGATTGAACTCAGTGATTAAATAAACCGGAGGAAAGTTTCCCCGAACAGTATGCCGCCTAGCGCTTTGTGTTTAAGGCGTGAACGTTATTTGATTATAGACTCGGCAATGTAGACGGAGACTTCGAATTTTGTTACTGACATTATTCGGAGGTCCGCACAATGCCACGCTCTGAAGAAGCAGAGTGGTGGGCGAACGCAGTCTACGACGCCATCCAACAGGTCCCCCGGGGCAAAGTGACTTCCTACGGTCATATCGCACGCCTCCTCGGTGAACGTATGGATGCAACTGCACGGTTGTTGTAGATATGCTAACCATTTTATTTTGGTAATAGCTCAGCGTCCCCGCCAGGTCGGGGTCTGTTTGAAGGTACTTCCCTCGCCGGAGTCTGGTTCGCACTTCAATTCGAACACCGTGCCGTGGCAGCGAGTGATCAATTCGAAAGGGATGATTTCGCATCGGTGCGTTTCTAGACTACTTATTCCAAACTCTCATATCATGTCAAACTGTTCAAATCAGACGATATGATGCTGACTTGAAAGGAAATTTTATACGTGTTCACGGCTAACAACTATAGCAGTGGACCCGGCAGTGCAGAGCGTCAGGCCGAAGCTCTCACCCAAGAAGGTGTAGAGGTTACTACAGACAGCATGGGCGAGATGTATGTTGATTTTTCTCGATATGGATGGTTCCCAAGTGAGCTGCCGAGCGAGGGAACGGATGAGTAGTCATAAGAAAGGGGAAGCTGAGCACTCATCTACCGTCGTAGAGGCGTTTACCAACTTCATACATTGACCTTGCATTGCATCAGAGCGTTGACAATGATTCAATACATCGTACGGAGACTGAATCCATACATAGCAAATTGTCATAACTTGTCTGTCTGGTGGAGGGAATCTAGAAGACGGAAGGGACTTCGCAGATGAGTGGGAAGGGGATGACACAGGAGACTAAAGACCCATCACAAATATGATCAATGGAAAATAGAAAGACGAGTCTATCGGAGAGATATGAGATGGAAAAGCCCAGACACAAAAGGTAGACAGACGTGCAGGGGGGGAAGGTGAGGCATAAGCATACGAGCATCTCAAAAAACACCCCATCCAACCAACTACCAGCATAGGACGAAAGAAAGCTTTGAAGAAAGAAATAAAGACATACACCAACCAGCATCAATCCGTAAATGGAAAGAGAAAAAAGATCGTTAACTCACATCATCGCCATAAGGGCATGTCCGCAATGAAAACCTAGGGGATAGCCCCATCTAGGCTAAGGAAAGAGAACAAAGAGGGAGGGGGTCACTAAGGTCACCTTCATCGCTTTTTGACCTCGGTAGCCCAGCCTTCAATACCCTCCCCCCGGGTGCCAGGGGTAATGCCCAGATCGATCCCATCCATACCAGGTGTTTCCTTTATCCACTCGTGAGCTGCCATGCCACCAGCGTTCGCCCTCTTCTCGGGTGACAGGTCAAGCATAGGCAATAGGAGTTCGCTAATACGCATGCTCTCCTCCATGGAGTAGTGGTACTTTTCTCGCAGGACGTCGGGCAGGGCCCAGTGACGGAGTCGGTGGATATTGCGCAGCTCACCCTTGCGGTTGAAGATTTCCTGGGACCATTTGCCGGACATGCAGAGTGACTTGGGGAAGGGACCAAGTAGTTCAATGATTTGGGCAATGTGATCATCGTCCTTGCCATATTTGGTCCCTGATTGGGGGTCAAAGAGGTAGTCTCCGGTGATGAGTTCGAAAACCTAAACAGTTAGTATTTTTTCGGCTTCGGCTGTGATTAATGATCATAGTCACTCACCATGCATGCCATACTCCACACATCAGTACTGGCACCCCACTTAGAACCCAGTATGACTTCAGGAGAGCGGTATTGACGAGTTTGAATGTCGTTGGTGAAATGGTGACCGACCCAACAAGCATTGCCTAAGTCTGCAATCTTGACCGAAATAATATTGACGTCAAGTTCTTCCTCTGCTGATTTGCTCGAAGAGCCTTTATCGAGAGAAATTCCAGACACCTCTCGCTCCAAAAGGTCACTATATGTATATCGTTAGATCAAGTTCTCATCAATCAGAGCAATGCAGACGAAATGTAAGAACGTACGCAGTTTTCTCCCGCTGGTTCTGCTTCTCATCTTCTTCCTTCACCCCAAGCAGTTCTCTCATAGAGGGCATATCTGCAGTAGATGCTAGGTCAGTTTCAGTTCGCGCACGGTCGTGCCATAGGTGCATCAAGGGGGACCGACCTCCAGATTCATTGACCATCTGGCTGAGGCTGCTGTGTGAGTTGGAAGAGCTATGTTTGAAGTCGAAGCTATTGAAGCTGGTGTTGAGCGGACTAGGGAGCGGCTGGCTCCCTGTGATCAGTGTGCGTCGTCGTCTCCGTCCATTTCGGTTATCCTCTTTCTCCTTGGCCTCTTTATTGGCTTCCTCCTTGACATGCGCCTTGACGATCTGCTCCACATCTCCAATCTCGATCAGCACATTCTCCGGCTTCAGGTCCGTGTGAATGATCCCACACTCGCGGTGGAGATAATCCAAGCCCAGTAGTACTTGCTTCGCAATCTGCTTGACTAGCGGCATAGGAATACCGCGGTGGTTCCACCGCTTGATCAAACCCAACAGGTTCTCGCCCAGGACCTCAAAGACCATACAAACATGGATACCATTCGGTCCCTTGTGCTCAAACGAGTCCAGCAGACTGACCACATGCTTCCGACCAGGGTGAGAGGGCTTCGCTTGAACTATTTTGTTGAGGAGCTTGATTTCGTCGATCGCGGTTTCGGTGTAGTGTGCGGCGGATCGAACCACCTTCAGCGCGACGTGCTTGTTGGTGGTTGTGTCCCGCGACAGCCAGACCGTGGAAAAATGACCCCATCCAAGCTTGCGCACGACAATATAGCGACCATTGTTGTATGCTTCGCCGACCGCGACGGGGTGGTATCCACCTTTGCAGTAATCTTCGGAGTCCTCCTCTTCTGCGGTAGCCTCGAGATCTTCGCCAGACGATGAGGATGATGAGCGTGACGCGGGTGCTTTGGGGTTTGACTGAGCAGCGCCGGTTCTATTCCATGAGAAATTAGTAACCATGTTCATCAGAAACGTTTCAAGACATACGATTCTGTAGCGCCGGGCGCAGGGTTCCCTTCACTGGTGAGGATGGGCTTCAAGTCGGTACCCTTTCTCCTCTTCTTTCCGCCGCTGCCATTGGCAGCTGAAGCAGCAACGTTTGCCATCTGTTTGCCCTTGTTGAGCACCGCCTTGGTAAGATCGACTCCCTCCATGGTGTGGAGATTTGGGAGGTCAAGCTGAGAGGCGGGGCACACTGGCTTTTGGTTGGCTCAAGCGGAACTTAAGAGGCGGTGGATGTTGGAGGGGCCTTTACCACCACAGTAAAGACACGAGTAATCGGTGGGGGAATACAGCACTGCCCAGGTGAAGTTGTGAAGAATTCAAACACACTGAGAATAAGTTGGAGGGGGAAAAACGAAGATGTCAAAGATTGAGGAAAATAGCGGGTAAGGCACAGCCCAAAAAGAAGATGGGCCAGAGCGACGATCCGATCGCAAAAGTCAAGTTTTATGAAATCGAGAAAGGTAGATCACCTCGGAGAAAAAGGAAATAGTTGAGATGGGATGGTTTTCCGCAAGCAGCCACAGCGTCGTGGTGGCAAATATCGACGCATTGAGTGCAGACAATAAATAGCCTATAAGAACTAAATATACTGAATATACTGGAATAATAAATAATAGATGTAAAGAAAAGAGAAAAAAAATATCTCAGATGAAGGTCGCTGGGGACATTGATTAACTAGAAGAAACACAGTAAGTACATGTCAGGTGAGATGATACCCATGATGTTGACTCTGTTGACTTGTTGACTATGTGAACATACAGATGTTTTAGCTCTTTTATGCTACATATCTACCTTAGCCTTATCTATATTCTAAAACTATCTTCGGCCAACTATTCTTTCAAATTCCAATCAAATCCGAAAAGAAACAAAAAGAGATCGACTGCAGTCCCTGATGTCACGATCCCCGCTTGGGGTAACTGGGTACCTGACTTTATCTCGGTGGATTCACCTCTTGACCTCTTAAGACTCTAGCCTCTGGCTTCTCTGCCACCATGACAAGCCCCTTCAACCGTCGCCCTATTCCAGACTACTTCCTAGCCTCTCCACTGGTGGCCCTACTCTATCCAGTGCACCAGATCTTACTCCGTCTGCGTGGACCTCCTCGACTCCCTCCGCCAGGCACTCAACCGATCCGAGTAGTCTGCATCTCCGATACTCACACCCTCGAATGGCCAGACGTACCTGACGGAGATCTTCTCATCCACGCCGGCGACCTCTGCAACGACGGCTCCGCGCGCGATATTCAAGCCGCTGTTGACTGGCTCCGAAGCCTTCCCCACCCATACAAAGTCGCCATCGGAGGCAACCATGATAGCTACTTCGACGTGCGCTCACGCCTAGATGAGGACCGCAAAGACCCGGCTTCTACGGGGGATTCCTTCGCAGCAGTCACCTCCTCCGCCGCATCCATACACTCGCTCCACGAGCTGAACGGCGCCTCCCGCATCGACTGGGGTGACATCCACTACCTCCAACATTCAGCGGTAACCCTTTCGTTCCCCGACACCTCCACGCCCTCATCTACAACCCCCCTTACCAGCTCCCGCTCGCGCTCCCTCACAATCTACGGCGCGCCCCAAGTCCCAGCCATCGTCCCCTTCGGCCCCGAGCACGCCTTCACATACCCTCCACACCACGACGCCTGGTCCGGCACCGTCCCCCCAGAAACAGACATCCTCGTCACTCACACCCCACCCCAAGCCCATCTCGACTTGTCCCCCGTATATTCCACAGGCTGTCCCAACCTGCTAGCAGAATCATGGCGCATCCGTCCTGCCCTCCACGTCTTTGGCCACGTCCATGAATCCGCAGGC